ATACAGCACGATATAAGCAGAGCTCATAAACAATGTGGAATATTGAAGACGCAAAAAAGTAAAAAAAAAAATTGGTAAAAAGAGAGCTTCGAATGTGGAAGGAATCGACACCCCAATCCAGCTCACCCAGGTATTTTTTGAAATTCTTATTCAGGGATATCGTTCAATGATAGTAAAAGTATACCAGCCCCCTGGAGACGAAGAAAAAAAAAACACTTATGCTGCAAAGCATTTCCTTCTCATGTTCTAGATCCTAGTTTCTACAGATGCTTTCAATTGTGCTATAGCTGGATCTCAAGTTTCCGCCTCGCTGTATTCCCAAGGGCGATACCATGCGATAAGGTAGTAAGAAAAGGCGAGGCAAGAAGTCTTCGCAAATTCGTTCAGGAGAATCAATTCGCAGATTTAAAGATTTGGACGCAGAATCAACCGTCCTTTGGTACAAGTACCAACGAGAAGGGTTGCGTTTGCGGTTTTAAGGAGGGCGGGTTCGTATTTGGAGTTTTTGAATGGCAAAAGGGGGAAATTAAGAAAGAAAAAATAAAGAAAGAAGCGACGGGTCGTATTCGTGGAAGTTGAGGAAGTCGCTTCAGACGGGTTTTTTCGGCATGAAAAGGCCAACCAAAGATTTGCTGCTTTGTAAGAGAAATTTATCTTCTCAAAGCAAAGGAAAATATAAGAAGGAAAACGGAACAGACACAGGAGAAACCTAACAAAAAGAAGTGTATAAGGTCATGAACAATACATGTAGTAAGGTAAGCCACCTAAAACTTTGCATTGGCAAGGAAAGCCCAGCTCTTTTCGAAAACTAGAACGCTCCCTCAAATTTCTATATCACAATGTAGTATTGTGACCAGTGGCGCGATAACCAATGCCGCTTGGGTTGCCAACTCTGAACGTAACAAAAAGTTTAGTGGCACTATTGAACTATTACAACCCCAAAATCTCAAAATTTTAATTTTCGTCGAAACTTCGCCCATAGGGGTTATTCGATGCCCTGATTACGAAAATGACATTCATTTTTGGCGTTGGCGCCATCTGGCGCCAATTGGCGCCAGGGCTATTTTCACCAAATTCGCTGTAAACTTGTACCTACTAACTATAAAGCGCTTCGTCTGTCGTCTGTCGTCTGTCGTCTGTCGTCTGTCGTCTGTCGTCTGTCTGTCTGTGTGTCTGTCACGAAATTCCCTAGCTCCTCGGGATCCGCCTGGAGGGACCGGGTCAAGTGTGGAATGGGTGGGCAAGGTCTCACGTAATACAAAACACACATCAGCTAAGCGGAGCCCCGCCCACAGAGGGCGTGGCGTGCGTCGAAATGAATTGTACCGAAGACCAAGATTTCGATTTCAGTGACAAAACGACCTCGAAACTGGGCCAAAAAGTGGGTAAGGTGTGCATTGGTAAGTCACATCGAATTAGGGAGACCCACCCCCGGTGGGCGGGGCGTTCTCCAAAAAAGCAGTGCTTTATGAAAAATTTCATAACTCGGTTGGGAGAAAGCCTACAGAGCAGAAAACAAATTTGGTGTAAGGGAGCAATGTCTAAGGTGTTTCCTGCATACATGACGTGGGCGGAGGCCCGCCCAGAATGGGCGGGGCGCGCTCTGAAGTGTACAGCATTTTCTACAAGCCCTCATAATTCGGGTCGGGGAAGTCTTAAAGAGCCGGAAAAAGGTGGATAGAGGTGTATGGAGGAGTGGAGGCCAGCTGTCATCGGTGGGCGGGGCTTGACCAAAGTGGGCGGAGTTTGCGACGAAAGTTCATAACTCGGTTCCAAGAAGTCCCGGAGGCAGGGAAAAGGGTGGATGGAGGTGTTTGGAGGAGTGAAGGCCAGCTGTCATTGGTGGGCTGGACATGTTCAAAGTGGGCGGAGTTATCAACGAAAATTCATAACTCGGTTCCAAGAGGTCCTGGAGACCGGGAAAAAGGTGAACTGAGTCCGTCAACGAAAGGGAGGTCAACTGCCATTGTTCGAGAATTTACGCCGCACCACCCCATATCGCTGCAAAACTGTGCTGTGCGCGCAACGCGTGCGGCGCCAACTGGTCACTTATAATTCGCGGGTCCTGATTACGGATGACATTCGTTTTTGGCATTTGCACTATTCAACGCATATTTCCCGTTTTCTTGGGCTCTCTCACTTGTACATATTACCTCGGACTAAGCTTAGGAGGAGGGGGACTCCTAGGTGGGTGAACCAGGCAACGTGTGGCAAATGTTGAAGCGTATAAGATCACAGGATGAGTGATTTACTCACTTCGGAGCACTCCTCTCCTCAAAGGCTTAGTCCTGATCGCGAGCTAATCAGTGAGAGGGCGCAGACGAGCCGAAAATAGGCGCCAAATGGCGCGGCAAAATGAATGTTATATTCGTAATCAGGACCCCAAATAACCCCTGTATACAAAGTTTACAGCGAATTTGGTGAAAATAGCCCTGATGCCAAACTGAAATGGTCATTTTCGTAATCGCGGCATCGAATAACCCCAAAGGGCGAAGTTTCGACGAAAAATCAAAATTTTGAGATTTTGGGGTTGCAGTAGTTGGTTGAATAGTGCCGATTTAGTCAATGATTTTCATAATGATTAGATATCGCGTGGAAATTAGAGGGCTAGCGAGAGCTTACACACACGGTAAGTTACATTCGAGCTACTTTGGTGCTAGTGGGCTATCACTTTCTTAAGACACGCACAGAGATTCGATTTGATTGTGCGAAACATCTTACGTGCTCTACCCTGCCTCGAATCAAACCAGATCGAGGGCAGCCACTAAACTTATAACATTAATTGGCATACACACAAATAAAGGGGGAGGGGGTTACACGCTAATATTCGTAAATGGCGCTATAGGGACTTCATCAGCAAGTTTCCTTCGAACAATTTGCCTTCTTTACTGAAATTTTAGATTTTATGCAGTACTTTCTTGTATTTAATAATAAGCAATCACAAAGCTTCTGCAAGAAGAAAGCGGCACAATAATTAGCCAAAATTATAGAAGGACCCTGCGTAAACGTTAGAAGGTAATCTCTGCGGAAGCAAAAAGCAATCACGTCGGCGTCTAGCGTTGGCTATGTTTTAACAGTCAAGCCAATTTCCGTCTAGTGAACGACGACAATCGGAAACACCTGACCTATGATGAATAAGGGATCATCAAGTATCACTATACCTAGACTAACGTTTACCTATCGAGCAAGTTAAAGATGCAAAAGTTATTCCATCCAAAAAGCTGCCGTTTGAAAGCGGGAGAAGAGATAAAACTTCATCTATGAATTTAATAAAATCAACGTCATCAACAAGTATAATTAAAACAGTGTCCTTTGCATAAATCACAATAGATAAGAAAATGACTGTGAAAATGAAACAAATCACGAAGATTAACGACTCTTTTTCACGACAACATATTAGACGAGACAACAACAAGACAGCAACTTACGGCAAAACAACAACGAAGATAAAATCAAGATGAGCAAACGCATGATGTAAGTGGGGTGCAGATGATGATGAGGCGGACAGCACAACATCTGAAACAAAACAAGTGAATAAAAACCAAAAAAGCACATACAAGGAAACTATACAGCACAAATAGCGTCAATATTTCTTGAGTATAAGCCGAACGCTGAGCATATATAAGTTTATATATAAGGTGACTAGTGACAAAGGATGTCACGTAGCATCACTTGCTACTGCTTTACATCAGTGAGCGTAGTCGGGGGACAAATCCCAGGTAAAATCCGCCCTCCTCCCCCCTTAAGCTGGTGTCAGAGTCCGCGATCCGTCGCAGGTTTCGCTGATTTTCGCGATTTGCGCGAAACCTGCGACGGATCGCAAAAATTGCAAGTGCCCCATTTGAACATTTGAAACACTGAATATGAAACAAGTGGAATCATGAGCAGTCGTCATTCAGCCATCACTATCAAGCAGAAGTGGCGGCAGGATTGGAGAACACCTTGCAGTATTGATCGGGCACTTGTGATTTCCGTGACCCGTCGCGTGAATCGCATCGCAAATCGCGCAAATCGCGAAAATCAGCGAAACCTGCGACGGATCGCGGACTCTGACACCAGCCTTACAAACCAACCAAGACTTACATCCTTCAGAGTCACGCACTTGAAACCACTCATCTGGAAGAATAATACACTGACAAGTATA